GATATCGGGGAGAGTCCCCAAGACACTTTCAGAAGGTCTCTAACTGTTTTCAGCCCAGCAGGTGGCGCGGAGATCCAAGTGGCCAGAGCCCACGTGGCCAGTGCAGGGTGCATCTGTGTGAGTGCTGTAATTTCTGTAAGCTACACATACAGACACCCAGGCACGCTCCCTTTCTCCGCTGAGAAGTCTGAGGAGCAGTAACGTGCCAGCACCCTGACGCTGGTGTCTGCACACTGCTCTTCACTGGGCAGGACAGGGCCCGTCGGGGACGAGTGAAGGGAGAAGTCTAAAATAAGCCTGGGAGGCAAAAAAGTGTTCCCAAACTGATGGGAATGTGTTGAGAAGACACAGAAGTCACCTTGAAGAGTCAAATGTGGGGCAATTTATACATGAATAATAATGACGACGATAACAGATTTTTTATCCACTGAATAAAATAGAAACCATGAGTCTGTACAGATACAAATAAATCAATGAACTGAAAGGTTGAGGATATTTGCATTATTTCAAAGTATCTCCTCATAAAACATTAAATGCATAAAACATTTATTTAGACTTTGGCTGGGGCTGGCAGGTGGCGTGGGGGTCGAGATACTGGATTCCCACATGGTTGACTATAGTTCGAGTCTCGGACCTGGTGGCTTGCTTTCTCACTTGAGATCCAAGTGGCCAGAGCCCACGTGGCCAGTGCAGGGTGCATCTGTGTGAGTGCTGTAATTTCTGTAAGCTACACATACAGACACCCAGGCACGCTCCCTTTCTCCGCTGAGAAGTCTGAGGAGCAGTAACGTGCCAGCACCCTGACGCTGGTGTCTGCACACTGCTCTTCACTGGGCAGGACAGGGCCCGTCGGGGACGAGTGAAGGGAGAAGTCTAAAATAAGCCTGGGAGGCAAAAAAGTGTTCCCAAACTGATGGGAATGTGTTGAGAAGACACAGAAGTCACCTTGAAGAGTCAAATGTGGGGCAATTTATACATGAATAATAATGACGACGATAACAGATTTTTTATCCACTGAATAAAATAGAAACCATGAGTCTGTACAGATACAAATAAATCAATGAACTGAAAGGTTGAGGATATTTGCATTATTTCAAAGTATCTCCTCATAAAACATTAAATGCATAAAACATTTATTTAGACTTTGGCTGGGGCTGGCAGGTGGCGTGGGGGTCGAGATACTGGATTCCCACATGGTTGACTATAGTTCGAGTCTCGGACCTGGCGGCTTGCTTTCTCACTTTCCCTCTCTCTCTCTCTGGTCAAAATTAAAACTAAGTAATAATGAATAAATAAATAAATCTTTTTTAAAGAAAGACTTTAGTGGGTATCATCTTAGCCAAAGAATTAAAGTGAAAATCACGGATGAAAGGCCAAATGAGATTGTACACTGCCTGACAGGAAGAGGTAGCGCTTCTGTGCTACCCCAGTTACAGTGATCAATAACAAACTGAACTTTGGGGAAACACCACACAAACCCAAGATGAAAGATACTCTATAGCAGCTTCCCAAAAATCTCAAAACGCACCCCATGAAGTGAAGGTAAGACTGAGGAACTCTTTAAGACACAAGGACACACGACAACGATACGCGATACGCAATACGCGATTCTGAACCGGATCCTTTTGCTACGAAGGACAGTGTTGGAATAATGGCCAAACCTCAGTGGCCTTAAGTCTGGATGATACTGTGTATCAGTGTCACTGCTGATCTTGAAGGCTGCTTTGTGGCTGTGTAGAATGCCCTACGTAACTCAGAATTTGGGGCTGACAAGGCATCGTCTCAGCCACTTACTCTCAAATGGGCCACAAAAATATAAGTTTTGCTCTGAACTTGCAAATTTTCTGTAAGCGTGAGATCTCTTCTAAAAAGTTTTGGAGCCTTAAACATGTGAGCGCACGCACACACGTACATACACACATACATACCCGTGCTTATCCCCAGAGTTAATGGATCACGATTCTCTGGGGGACTATACAATGTCAGCTAAAGAAAAGTATTCAAAGCATTTAGTGTATTTCATTTTCATATAAAAAGTTTTAATAATTCTATATTCCTAAGAGTGATGTTGACGAAAGCTAACTGCATGGCCTTCGGTGCCACTCTATGCTTTTGCTTAAGCTATTCTACTTAAGAACCACAAGTGCTCCCCTTATTTCCTTCCAAATAAGGAAGCTGCCTACCTCGGTGTACAATTCTGGACTTCTTGCAGAACTATTTTTGATTAGGATGGTTGTGAGTCTACACATCTTTTTTGAGTTCAGGCCCGAAAACGTCTTCTCACATAAAACTAGACAAGCAAGATTTCCACAGAAAACACATGTGTGTCACACCTAATTGAATGCCAGGGAAGGCTCGAGTCATCTGCTCAATACATCTGCTCTCTCAGCCTGGCTAACGTGCCAGGACAAGCAGACAGGTCACACGGTGTTGTACTTAATTCATGGAGTACACATTTTAAGCTTTATAAAAAAAGTTATTTATTCAATTGTATTTATTATTATTTTTAAAATTTGCTACAGGGCAAGTGTGCTCACCAGAGAGAGAGAGACAAGGAGAGAGAAAGTGAGAAAGCAAGCCGCCAGGTCTAAGACTTGAACCATGGCCAGCCACGTGGGAGTTCGGAGCCTTAACCACCACGCCACCTGCCAGGCCTCCTATTTTAAGTGCTGAGCTCTTCTAATCTGACGTCAAGTAAGTTGAATAACACAAAAGCATCAACCGTAAGAAGAAAGACTGATACACTGGACTTTATACAAGTTAAGTTTCTGTTCATCAAAAGAAAATGAATAGAGACACGTTCACATGGCAAAGCAGAGTTGCAGCCGGGCCAGCCACAGTGGTGCAGCAGTGGGGACATGGTGTGATTACGGAGGCCACATGGGAGGCTGTAGACTTGTGTGGTGGGCCCACCTGAACACAACAGGTACACCCATGGTACAGCCACAACCCTGGCTGGCTACAGGGCTGGGGAAGGATTATGGCATGAGGACCCTACAGAGGATGACTGTCTTAGTCACTCTTTCTCTCTCTGGAACATAAATTTTAAAAATATGTATATATTTTTGCACTGAAAATTTAGAGGTTTATGAAAGAACTCTTACAAAGAGAAAATAAAAAGACAATCTAATTTTAAAATAGGCAAAAGTGGGGCTGGCAGGTGGTGTGGTGGTTAAGGTGCTGGACTTCCACATGGCTGACTTCAGTTTGAGTCCCAGATCTGGCAGCTTGCTTTCTCAATTTCCCTCTTTCTGTCTCTCTCCTGTCAAATAAAAAAATTTTAAAATAAATGAGTGTAAAAAGAAAAAATAAAAAACAAATTCTTTAAAAAAAAAAAAAAAAAAAGGGCAAAAGCCTTGAAGATACCTTAAAACAAACTTCAAAGACAAGTCTTTAAAATGTGTAACTATTTTGGGGCCAGCAGGTGGCATGGTTGCTTAGGTGCTGGACTCACACATAGGTGACCACAGTTCGATTTCCAGACCTTGTGACTTGCTCTCTCACTTTCCCTCTCTCTCTGGTGAGCACACTATAGCAAATTAAAAATAATAATAATAATAATAATTAATAATTCTAAAAAAAGTTTTGACTGTTTTGAAATTTTGAGTAAATATCTTATAAAATAGGGCACTGAAATAGGAGAGTGTTTTTTGTGTGTGTGTGTTTCTGGTTTTATTTGTTGCTGTTGTTTTTTTGAGGTTTTTGCTATAGGGTGTGTGTGCTTGCCAGAAAGATAGAGACAGAGAGAGACAGAAAATGAGAATTCACCCCCCAGGGGGGATGGCCACACCGCAATCCCTTCTCCTCCGTTCTCTTCTCGGGATCTTGGGCACGCATGCACACACACCCAGCGTGAGTTTAAGCCACCAGGTCTGGGACTCACACCGCAGTCCACTACATGGGAGTCCAGCAACATAGTCATTACACCAACTGCTGGTCCCAGGAGAGTGTTTTTTAACCTGATATCTAGTTTTGAAGTAAGACACAGTTTGTTCTGAAATACATTTAAAAAACACATTTTCCTCAATATAACACGGGTTTAAACTGGCTGAAAATCTTATTCACTGGAAAATTCATATCACCTAAGAAGAGTCTTTATATACTATTGGTGATCTGACTTTGAACCCAAAATTTCCTGCTCTTCCTTTTTTAAGTTTTGGATAGGCTTAACTGAAGAATATTTTAGTATTACTTATCTATTGGATCATTTTCTTGAAATACACGCAACTAGAGAAAAATATAGAAAAAAAATCAGGTGTTTATTTCTTACATCAGGAAGACATAAGACTAAAACCATCATTCATAGATCCCAATTTCAAAAGTCCGAGTTCGGGTCCAGCAGGTGGCGTGGTGGCTGAGGCGCTAGACACTCCCACGTGACTGATCACAGTTCGAGTCCTAGATCTGATGGCTTGCTTTCTCACTTTCCCTCTCTCTCTCTCTCTCTCTGGTAAAATTAAAATAAATGAATGAATAATTAAAATAAGTAGTTCTTTTAAAAAAAAGAGAGATAGTAGTCTGAGTTCATGAAAATAGGTTAGTTGTTCCTACTGAATGATTTGATATTCTAAAGACTTCATGGCAAATAGGTGTTTTATCGATGTGAACTTGTAAAATCAACTTAATAATGAAGTGTTAGTTTTATAAGTTTTACGTGTGATATTGTGATACGGCTTTGCATGGCAGTGTTCCAGTGCTTTAAAAGACATGAAAACTAATACTGGATTTAAGAACTACTGAGTATTTCCCTGAGACCAAGAAATGCACAGACCTTGTGAGGACACACTCGCCACGTAATGGCTAATCGCGGGGAGCACTGAGAAAGACGTAAATCACCGATACTGTTCACACACACACAGTGTCCCGCACAGACCTTGTGAAGACACACTCGCCACGTAATGGCTAATCGCGGGAGCACTGAGGAAGACGTAAATCACCGATAGTGTTCACACACACAGTGTCCCGCGCAGTCCTGATGGTGTGTTTACTGCAGTACTTACCGGGGCTACTATTTTTCCAGTCTGTCCAACCTGCATGTCATTGGGGACAAAGCCGGCGTCGACGGCAGCACGGGAAGCACCAACTGAGGGGAGAGATGGTCGTCACTGTTTTGAGCTCTGTGGTCGGCCAGTCGGGCTATTCACTGACGAGTGTAAACAAAGGCACTGGCATCGTATAGTTACTCGGTGTGTTATAAAGAACAACTTTCACATCTCCGTAACTGATTGAGAAATCTAAATGTAAGTACTAGTACATTTTACACATAAGGCTTCAAGAAGTGCCTTGTTTTGATACTCAAGGATTTCACATTTTAAATTTGGCTAAGCTCTTCTGCTTGCTTTATCAAAAAGGCATTTGTAAAACCTATACTATAACTTGTTTAGAACGCCACCAAAGAACGTTCCTTTTGGGCTGGCTGGCTAAGGTGGCGAGATCCTACATGGTCAACTGAATGGTTGGAGTCCAGGACCTGGCAGCTTGAAAAACACGCCATGTGCACGTGCATGCATGCCCCAAATCCCAACAGAAAGGAGAAATAGAGGAGACAAGATTGCAGTGGGACCATTTCCCATGGGGGGTGCTTCCTCCTCTCCTTCTGTCTAGCTCTCTCCAGAGAGCGCATGTGTCCTTTGGCAATCAACCAATCATCCAATCAAGTATTAAAACACTCTCTCCTCAAGACCAGCAGATGGTGTAATGGTTACATCACTGGACTCCCACATAGTTGACTCAGTTTGAGTCCTGGACCCGGTAGCTTAAAACTCATGCTAGGCGTGTGTGCGTGCATGCCCAAAATCCCTAGAGGAGAATGGAGAAGGGATTGCGGCATGGCCATCCCCCTGGGGAGTGATTTCTTGCTTTCTGTCTCTGGTGTCTTTCCAGTGAGTGCACATGCCCTATACTAAAAAAATCTCTCCAAACACACACACACACACACACACACACACACACACACACACACCCACCCCTCTCCTCACGGAATGCTATACCATTTACTTGGAGGCCTAAGAAAAAACGTCTCAGAGAGAAAAACTGAAACCACAGAAAGTAAAATAATTTGCAGCCCTGAGTGACTGTACATAAATGAAATAATAAAGAAAGAAAAGCTCAGCACAAAGGGAACATCTTTTATTAAGGAAAATAAAATAACTGTACCTGCAGCATGTAGTTGATCTGCCAAATCATATAGCAACTTAAAGTTCTCGCCACTCTTCAAACCCCGGCCTCATTTAAAAAGATAAAAAAATAAATAAATAAATAAGCAAACATAAACTCTAGTCTACAAAAAATCTTTGTGTGAGTGGATTTTCATATTACACATGACACTTTCTCTGAAAAATCTTTTCTGATTCTATGACATTCCTGTGTCACTCTCTCCTACAAAGCATCTGATACTTCTATAATCAAGTAGTTAACTGTGTAATTACTGTTAATATCAGTTTTCCTCTCTCGGACGAACTTTTTTTTTTTTTTTTTTGAGAGGTTTTTCATTACAGGGCGCGTGCACTCGCCAGACAGACAGAGAGAGACATAGAGACAAGAAAGCGAGAAATCACCCCTCAGGGGGGATGGTCACACTGCAATCCCTTCTCCTCCATTCTCCTCTCGGGATCTTGGGCACGCACGCACACACGCCCGGCATGAGTTCTAAGCCACTGGGTCCGGGATGCGAACCGCGGTCGACTACGTGGGAGTCCAGCGACATAGCCATTACGCTAACTGCTGGTTCCCCTCGGACGAACTCTTTAAAGCAAGATCCAAATCTATCTCAGTCTCTGATGTAGCTTCAGTATTTAGCAAAACTCCATGCATAGTTAGTGCTCAATAAATACTCTCTGAATGGCGGAAGTCATTACTTAAACAGAAGTCATCCCCCGAGTCTTTAACCTCGTTGGGAGCGAGAACACTCTGCCTTTCTGTCTTTGTTTCTCCAGCACTTTGCAACAGGCCTGCCATACAACAGATCCCCAATAAACGTTTCTTGAATAGATAAGTCAGCTAAATCCTTTAAAGATATTCAACTTTTTTCAATGCCACTTACAATAGGGAGATATTTAGAAGCTTAATTTTGTTTATAATGTTTAATCTGGAAAGATTTTAAAATCATAGTAGTCATTATTTTTTCAAAAAGTAACCACAAGGCTATAAAAAGTTGTTTAAAAAAATAAGGAGCATGCCAAAAAAAGAGCAGATCTTGTGCAATAAAAACAGCTTTGACACAGCTTTAACAGAAGGAGTAACTTTCAGAGTTATCCACCAAGATTCTGGACAGTCCTGAGGTCTATCAAAACAGAACAGAGGGTGGGAATTATACACAAGATAGACAGCCCAGAGATGCTAACCAGTTCTTTCTGATTTAGAAGTCAACCATACTATGCAGAGTAACACGGAAGTCGGTCAGGGAGACGGAGATAGCAAGTGGCAAGGCTAGGAAGGTGAAATCCGCACCAGGCTCCCCCTGCTGCCAGTGACACAGCAGTGCGATAGAAAGCCCAACTGCGTCATGTTTGTGATTTCACTATCCTACCTGGTAAAAGGGAAATAATGCTGGCAATCGACCAGCATCTCACATTTGGGGAAAAAAAAAACCTGGGTTTTTCTGTGTCTCAAAGTATGATAAGTTTAGATTACCTCTGAAAATTAATATTCCACTTACCACCAGATACTACCACTTTGGCACCAGTTAGCTCCGGTCGGTCACTTTTGGTTAATTTCTGGTCGAGCCACTCTGATACTCCCGCTGGTGAAGGACTCGATACTGAACACGCCAACACATACAATGAAATGATTACTATGATTTCAAGTTCTACAATGGACATTCTGTTTAAGAGACATACCCAAACAAAATTCCATGAAACTTAATTTTGTTAATTACTGTTAGTTTTCTGTGCTCCTAATTGCATTCTCTCTGTGAAAAGACTTAAGGAGACTGGATTCCAGGCTTTATCTCATTAGTTGTAGGAAAATCATTTCATTCTCTGAGTCCATCTTTAAAAACTGGAATAACTCACTTTTTTGGGAATTCAAATAAGATACCGTATATGTTAAAGTGTAAGGCCCTCTGTAATTTGTTACACAGTGTTGAGAGTGAAAACATTAACATAATTTAACAATCAATCTTAGTGGGTCCTCCCTCCCACTTCCTTGGCCATCACATCTAACCTAGTACTAAGGATGATACGACAAAGCCCCTCGTTATAAAGACTAGGCTGTGAGAAAGCCACAATATATTTTTGCACAGAAAAACAGAAACATATGTCAAGACTTTTCCTGCGACCCACTATTTCCTGTTCCCTACAACTTAACATTTCTTGTATTTGTATAATCTTTGGAATATTTCATTCAATCCATTCAGATTGAACTTTGAAGTACTCTGCATCAGAAATTTAATCAGAGTTCATCTCTTATTCTAGTACAACCTATGAACTTAAAGAAGAAGAAGAAAAAAAAAACAAACAGAAACAAAAACAAAAACAAAAGCTCTCCAAACGAAAACTCACCCTTTTCGGAACTGGCACTACCTCCACTTGTCGCCGCAGCTTCAAAAGATGTTCCTCGGACGGAAAACACCTTCACTTTCTCATCACACTTCACGGTACATATAGCATTTCCTGAAACACATCATTTATTTACTTTGCTGAAGAATTGTTTTATTTAACTTTATTTATTTATTTTAATTTGACAGGTGTGGGGGGGAATGAGTGAGAAAGCAAGCCACCAGGTCCGGGACTCAAACTGTGGTCAGCTATGTGGCAGTCCACCACCCATAACCACCACACCACCTACCAGCCCTCACATAATTTATTTTTAAAAGGCAACAAGGGGGACCAGCAGTTAGCATAATGGCTATGTTGCTGGACTCCCATGCAGTCGACCGCGGTTCAAGTCTTGGACCCGCGCCGACTACTTAAACTCACGCCAGGTGCGTGTGCATGCATGCCCAAGATCCCAAGAGGAGAATGGAGGAGAAGGGATTGCAGTGTAGCTATCCCCCCTGGGGGGTGATTTATCGCTTTCTGTCTCTCTGTCTCTGTCTTTCTGGTGAGCACATGCGCCCTATACCGAAAATCTCTCCAAAAAAAAAGGCAACAAGGGACCAGCAGATGGTGTAAAGGTTACCTCACTGGACTCCCACATAGTCAATTGTGGTTCAAGTCCTGGACCCGGTGGCTTAAAACTCACACTGGGCATGTGTACGTGCATGCCCAAAATTCCAAGAGGCGACTCCAGGAGAAGGGATTGTAATTATGTGACCATCCCCCCCTGGGGGGGGGGTTTGGTCCTTGTTCTATCTCTCTGGCTAGTGCATGAGCCCTATAGCAAAAATCTCCCTCTTTTTAAAAAAAAAGGCAACAACAAAAGACAGTAAGACAAGAATGCCTTTGTTATTTGGCCCAGAATTTACTTCACAAAGGAACTGTGGACCAGCTGTTTTCTACCTCCACTAAGTGTAGGACCTTCACAGTGAAGAATCATCCAGCTGGAGATTTGTACAAGCCTGGAAGTCTTTAAAGCAGGACAGGTGCTGACATGCTGGAGGCAGAAACTGGAACAAGCAGCCACACTGAGAATGCACACTCGCTCTAAAAGGAATGCGAGCAAAGCTTCCTTCTCCAAAAACAACACAACTGTGACTTAAAGACGTACGCTACAACACTTCACGAGCACACACTGCCACGCAGGTTAAAGGAGAAATGGATGTGAAAACATGACAGTGCGTAAGAACAAGGGCAGATGTGCAAAGATTTTAAGACGACTGAGAAATTACTTATGGGTTAGTGATCACATTAAAAGTGACCTAAACTATGACCAAATATTTCCCCTCAAACCTTGCTTAAAGAGAGGTCTGACTTGAGACATGACCACAACACACACAACTTTAATCAGAGAGGACACAGAGTTCTCTGCCTGCACCAACCCACTGGAGACCAGCATGCTGAGGGAAAGCTCAATCAGCTTCTTAATGCAGATGGAAACGGAGCAGCAAGAGCAAGCTTGAGAACACTATTCTTAAAAACAGTTTCACTTTCCCAGGTACCACTTACAAAATACACTGCACAGTGGATCTAATGTCTACTGCCCACTGGAAAACCTCACTCTAACACTGCAGGAAAGCAGGAAAGCACTGTGCTCAGAACCGCCCAGAGAGGGTGCCCCGGCCACTCTCCAGCACCCATCGGAGGCTAGGGACTTGCTCAGAATCCTTCCAGCGACTATCACTTGTTTTAGAATCCTATCTTCAAGATTAATTTCTAATTTTTACTAAGATCTAACTTGTTAATTAACCATCTTCCTTGGGTACTCACCTGCATAAATAGTTCTCACAAATGTGTCAGGAGACTTGATCTCAATGATGTCGGAAATTGGGGCGACGTCAAGTTTGGCTGCTATTCTGGGCAGAATGTTCTAAAAGAAAATAAGCAGGGCATTACACACGTACATACTGATGGAGGGCGACAGGATAGCACTCAGTACATAATCTGTTGACATTTTAGCTCAAATATCTTATATTTCACATGTATCTCTGGACACGCTAAAACTTCAACCTCAGCGTTCTGGATGGCCTTGGAGAAGAAGTGTGCCCTGTTATCAGTATCACTATGTTGAGAGTTTAATGAGTTTTATAATAATAAAGCACCTTAACTCAATATGCCGAACTATAAATTATCATATCTGCTTTAATAAACATCAATTACAAAGTGTGATAGTTATGAATCACTGGATTTAGATAATACGGAAAAAATTTAGAAGAGTAGGCAACATTCTCAAATACCGAAAAAGATTATACTTGTATATATGTATACAAAAGAAAAAATTTCAAAGCAATCATTTCACCTTTACATTGATTTTGTATTAAAGAGATCAAAACTAATCTGAAGAAAGGCCTGTGCGGTACGTAGAACGAAAGAGCAACAAATCAATGCACGTGCTTTTACTTGTAAGTGCGAGGGCAACTCTCCGTCTGTGGGTACTCTCCGTCTGTGTGGGTGTGTTCCCAGTGACAGGGACCCCTGGGGAAGCCCTATCTCCCCATGTCTCCATAACTTCATCTCAGAACACGAGGGGTTCACTCTCTGCTTCTTGCCTAAAGTTCGACGACTCAAGGGCTCTAGAACAGTCAGTGCAGACTGAATATCCATTCTTTCTGGATTCGAGGTTCTTTTAGACAGTGTAAGTGTAACTAAAAAAAGACAAAATTTGAAGTGTTGCTTTTTGTTGCACAACAGAACGGCTGAATTCCACACTGCATTCTACACACAGCTAACTCCGCGGCACCCCCGAACGCGAGACGTGACGCTGCCTCCAATGGGCATCCGCTCCCAACAGTATTATGCAGGTTCCTCTCCCCGGCCCACCCCCAAACCCTTCTGTTCTCTAACAATTCTCCCACCATAATCTTCTAATTACTCCTTTACCCTAAATCCTCCCACATGCACGTACAACCACATAAGCTAACTGGCACTATTACGGATTTTATTTTAAAATAATTTTTTCATTTCTTTACATCTAACCCCTGTATATCTTTACAGCATACAAAATGAATTTTCACAGCATGAGTACACTGTATATTAGTGCAGTCAAAGATATTACCATATATACGATCATCAACAATTTTCCATTTGTGTGTCCCTTAAATGCTTCGCTTCTGTTTTCCCACTGATTCCTCCTGCCAACTTCCCGCCATTTCCCTCCCTCCTCCCATGCTGTCTCTAGTATCCACAGTTGTTCTCCATGGCGTTAGACCTTCTAACTTTCCGTTTCTGCTAGAGACACATTCAGTATATAGTAAGTGGGAACACACCACGCTGCCTTCCTCGTCTGGCTTGCTTTGCTTAGCATTAAAAACCTTTCATGTTCACTCATTTTCCATCAAACGCCAGGGTCTTCCTTTTTATGGCTAAGTGTCCTTTATTCCTTAGTGTCCATGTGCCACACTTTTTCAGTTCACGCATCTGTTCTTGGTCTTAGCAGTTGTGAATGACGCCACAATAAACATGCATGTGCAAGTGCACTCTCCTGTCCTTTGGGATCCCCAGGAATGGAGCTGCTGGGTCACATGGTGTTCTACTTGCAGGTCTTTGAGCAGCCTCCGTACTATACTGCTCTCCACAGTGGCTGGGCCAGTTTACACTCCCACCAACAGCAGGAGGGTTCCCTTTTCACCACAGCCTCACCAGCACTCTCATTCTTCTTCTTCTTAATCTTAGCTACTCTGACTGGGGTTAGGTGGTATGTCTCTGTGGTGTTGATTGACATCTTCCTTATGATAAGGGATGCTGAGCATTTTTTATGTGCCTTTGGTTGTTTGTAAGTCTTCCCTGGTCTGTTGAGCTCATTTGCCCATCTTTCCTTCCTTTTCTTTTTTTTTTTGCCTTAGGGCACATTGCTTGCCAAAGGGGGAGGGAAGAGGGATACAGAAACAGTGAGAGGGAAAGTGGGAAATCAGCACCCAGAAGGGATGGTCACACCACAGTCTCTCCTCCTCCTGGGATCTTGGGCACACACACACATGTGCGCAGCGTGATTTCCGAGCCGCCTCGTCTGGGACTCGAACTGCTGTCAGCCATGTGGGAGTCCAGCGAGGTAACTGCTACACCATCTGCTGGTCCCATCATTTGCCCATTTTTTAATTGGACTGAATTTTTTTGTAGGTAAGCTGCTTGAGTTCTCTGCATATTTTGTTGTAAGTCCCTTATCTGAGGGAGAGTTTGTAAATACATCTTCCCATTCCAAGAGTTGTCTCTTCACTCTAATTACTCTGTCTCTGGCTGTGCAGAAACTCTTTAACCTGATGGAATCCCACTCATCTACTTTCGGGATTATTGCTTGTGCCGTGGGTGTCTTATTTAAGAAGTCTTTGCCTAGTCCGATGCCCCCCAAGAGTTTCTCCTCTTTTCTACCAGTAATTTTATAGTTAGAAGTTTTATGTTTAGATCTTTGATCCATTTTTTAGTTGATTTTTGTTAATGGTGAAAGACAGGAGTCCAATAATAATCTTAATACAAATGCTATGTGACCCTCAAATAGATTTATAAGCATCCCAGGGCAGAAGTCTTGATTCTTCTATTTCACTGTGTCCCTACCCCATATCTAATAAGTGGTTCTAGACACATTGATGCTAACAAGTATTGGCAGACTGCGTTAATTTCCCTCTAATTCTCACTTTACCATTACCTACATGATATGGTCATCTTCTTCACTCATGATAAAGAGCGACCAGAAAGTACCGTAGTTTGTAAAGCCACAATTAGAAAATAGAATTAAGACCCCAGAGATAATAAAGGTCTTGAAAAAAAACAATTAAAATGCCATTAGATATAATTCTTCTTTATTTTTGAGAGATTTTTGCTATAGGGCATAAGCACTCACCAGAGACAGAGAGAAAGAAAGTGGAAAATCACCCTGTGGAGGGGTAGCCACACTGCAATCCCTTCTCCTCCATTCTCCTCCTGGGATTTTGGGCATTTGTGCACATGTGTCTGACATGAGTTTAAAGCCGCCAGGTCCAGGACTAGAACCGTGGTTGACTACATGGGAGTCCAGTGATGTAGCCATTACGCCATCTGCTGGTCCCATTAAATATAATTCTAAATTGGTAAATAAGAGGTGCAGAGGTCACCTAATTTTAAATCAAGTCAGATCTGTCAGTACTTCAAGCTTGCTTAACAGATCAGTCTTTTCCTGAACCGCCTTCTTTAACTGGTGGGAATTACTAATAAAATATTGTTACCTAGCTGAGCAGACTCTCTCAAATTTTATGTTATGTTGTCTACGTCTCTTTTTAAAGATTTAGAACTTCCTAATAAACAACTTGAAATCTAATGTCTTTTGAGTTTTCATTATCCTGTTTTATTTGAGCCTATCTTGAAAACAAATGTACTATGACATCTGAAGGCATGTTTGGGTTTGGTCTTCCATGTAAAGGTCCTGAGAGGGGGACATACTTGCATTCACATTTCTTTGAGAAGATGCACAGTCTAACAGACCTCACCAGAGGGCTTCTCGGGAGAGTAAGTGGCAGCTATCCTTGTGCTCTTTCCATCCACAGAAAAATGACAGATTTTGGGAACCAGCAGTTAGCGTAATGGCTATGTCGCTGGACTCCCACGTAGTCGACCGCGGTTCACGTCCTGGACCCGGTGGCTTAAAACTCACGCCGGGCGCGTGTGCGTGCGTGCCCAAGATCCCGAGAGGAGAATGGAGGAGAAGGGATTGCGGCGTGACCATCCCCCCTGGGAGGTGATTTCTCGCTTTCTGTCTCTATGTCTCTCTCTGTCTGTCTGGCGAGCGCACGCGCCCTACAGTGAAAATCTCTAAAAAAAAAAAAAAAAATGACAGATTTTAAAACTCTAACATGCCAATATCATGTGCTTTCTCTAAGACCACAGCTGGTCAAGGACTGTCATACAACACTTTATCTCCTGACTCTTTCATTCCAAATGCACTCACGGCTACAGCACCCGCTACTATTATGTGAGTCTTATGTTCAAACCCCCCGCCTCTCAGAACACCACCATCAAGCTGGAGGACTACAGCTAGCTAACGGCCTTTCTTGCTCTGGAAATCTTTTGGGTGAACTGTCATCACAGAAGCTCAAGACTCATGAAACTGTCAAATCATCCAACAAAGAATCCAAACTCTCGGAGATGGAATGGTGCACAGATTATCTTTTCTCTCACGAGATTGGGGGGGGAAAGTTAAAATGTGTAATACCAAATGCTGGCATTTAACAATATATATCAAAAATAGGGTCTGCAGGTGGCATAGTGTTTAAGGTGCTGGACTTCCACATGGTCAACTGCAGTTTGAGTCCCAGACCCGGTGGCTGGAAACTCAGGTAGGGTGCGTGTGCGTGAGTGCTTAAATCCCCAGAGACAATGGAGGAGAAGGAACCGTGGCATGGCTATCCTCCCTGGGAGCTGACTGTTCGCTTTCTGTCTCTCGTTAGACACAAGTCTGTATCTCACCAGCGAGTGCATGTACCCTACAGCAAAAAATCTCTCTCAAAATATATTATCAAAAATATTAAAGTACATAGCCTTTGCCTTAGCTATTTCACTCACTTCCAGAGCTCTATTCTAAATAAATTCTACATGTATTCAAAGTCGTACAGGAATGCTTTCTTGCAGCAAAGTTTATCAAATACAAAAATCAGAAACAATCTAACTGTCCTTGGCTAAATACGGAGTATCATGCAGCCATAAAAAAAAAGAGAGAGAGACAGATAAACTATCAGCTAATGTTTTCCAAACATACTTTTCTTTTTTTTTTTTTTTTGGAGAGGTTTTTGCTATAGGGCATGTGCCAGAAAGAGAGAGACAGAGAGACAGAAAGCGAGAAATCACCTCCCTCCAGACATACTTTTAAGTAAAAACTGCCAATCACAAAACAATTCATGGTTTTATCATCACACATTAGAAGTTTTAAAAAGTACACCATTATTTTTAAAATATCACCATTTAAAAATCTATAGAAATCGGCCTAAAAGAGTGTTGAAATGGGACCAGCTGATGGTATAATGGTTACATCACTGGATTCTCATATAGTCAACCACTGTCCGTGTCCTGGATCCAACAGCTTAAATCTCACGCCTAGCACGTCTATGTGTGTGCCCAAAATCCAGAGAGGAGAAGGGATTGCGGAGTGACCACTCCCTCTGGGGGGGGGGGGGTAATTTCTCACCTTCTATGTTTCTGTCCCTTTCTGTGTCTCTGATGAGTACACACGCCCATAGCAAAAATCTCTCAAAAAAACTCTCTCAAAAAAATGAGTGTAGGATTACTAACAACTGCGCTCCTGAAGAGGGAAGGGCAAGTAGGGAATAAAAAGGCAGAACTTCAATACCTGCTCTACGGCTGTACTGGATGCGTGCTTCCCAATATGAATGGACTTGTGTGCAGTTTATTTACAAGCTTTAAAAGTAAAAACTGAGACTAATACACTCCATGTCTTGGGCTCTTCTTGCTGTCTCCTCCTCTCCTGAGGCTCTTTTTTTTCTTTTTCTTTGTTTTAAGATTTTTGCCATAGGGCACATGTACTCGCAGGAGGTAGACAGAGAAAGGGAAAATGAGAAATCATCCCCCAGGAGGGATGGCCATGCTACAATCCCTTTTTCTCCATTCTCCTCCTGGGATTTTGGGCATGCACGCAGAAGTGCCCAGCATGACTTTCAAGCTGCCTGGTCTGGGACTTGAGTCGCGGTCAGCCATGTGGGAATCCAGCACTTTTACCACTATGCCACCTGCTGGCCCCAGGTTTTTTTCCTTTTCTTTTTAAACTTCAGGCAGACCACCTCCCATCTGCTGGCACAGCCTTCCTTCAGACATATCAGAATGCACATGATCAGGTTACAGCTTTCTCTCCCCTGGGGACATCATCCACCAATAGCCCTTCCCAAATCCCCACGTAGGTGGAATCTGGCCTTCTTAAATATCTACCAGCTATTCAAATAAACCATCTCTTAAGATGAGTTACTAAAACAAAAGACATCCTCAGTCATACATACAAAATTTAATGCTGTTTTTAAACAAAGATCATTTTTAAATAACAGCCTAAGTGAAGTTTTTCTCCATGGCAAAATGTGAAGATCTGTAAGTGGCATTTTAATATGTGATGACAAAAATCTTACAAGAACAAAAAGTTATCTCTGTGACGAAGTCTGAAAGTCTGGAAATGGCATTGTAACAGAAATTATGACAAAATCTTGAAAGAACACAGGTTAGCGAAACCACCACATGAATTTGAGTAAGTCAAGATCAGCTGTCTAAACAAAATCTGCCGTGCGATGATGGCACAAGGACACCGAATCCTCTCCAAGAGTGACATCGGACTCCACCTCTCACCCGGCTCACCTTTCCGAAGGCAGACGCTCCCGCGCAGATGTGTGTGTAATTGAACTGCTTCTGGGTTGCCAGGATCAGTGGCGTCAGCTCCTCTGAGAACCAGACACATGTGGTGAGACACATCTCAGAATATTTTCACACTCAAGTACGCAACGTAATTCCGACACTGTATCGTTTCCACTCGCAAACCTCACCTGGAAGCAGGCCTTTGTACACGTCGTGCTGAGCTACCAGGACCTTCCCAACGCCCGCTACTTTACAGAGCTCCTGTGCCACCTGCGATTAAAAGCAAAGCTTCTAATTATCCTTCTCTTAGAAGTAAGCATGTACCGTCACCACTACAAATATCAACTGAGCATAAAATCTCAATGGCTAACTGTGAAAATCATTCTTACTGACAAAAGGGTTACTGAAGAATAAAAGAATATATTAACAAAATCTTATGCCTATTGATCTTGGTATTGCTAGAAGTTACAAAGTCCCACTACAAAGGATTTCGGTAAAAATTCCTGCCTTGAAAAAGAAAAGTACTGGGGCCAGCAGGCAGTGTGGTGGATAAGGGCACTGGATTCCCACATGGCCGACCAAGGTTCAAGTCCCAGACCTGGTGGCTTGCTTTCTCACTTTCCCTCTCTCTCTTTCTCTGGTGGTCAAATAAAATAACTAACAATAACAAATGAAATTAAAAAAAAAAAAAAAAGTACTAAGTGGTACGAAAACCAGCATGGCTCTTTATTCAAATTTAGTTGTAAACTGTTACTCTTTCTTTACCTTTGGCTTACTGCAAGTGTAAATTCATCATTTTAGAAACGGCAAAAATGAGGTTCTCTCTCAGTAATAACATAGCCAATATATTTTAGAGTTTTCTAGAACAGGACTTAGCCATCCTAGTTTAAAGTCAACTGCACTGTAATAGGCAATGATAATTTGTTGGATTTTAAAATGGACAATCCTAGGCCATAAAGAAAATCGCACATAATAACCCATGACTGACCACTGAGTTCCTACTCATGTATTTGTCTATGACAAAGCCGAACCTTTTCTCCTAACTTCTCATTGTTCCCTGGTCGGAATCAGGATGGGGTTCTGAGAAAGCTTTATTGATCAGATAGGTTTGCTCTATACAGAGGCAGTGAAAATCCCCCTTCTTCAGTTTTTTTTTTTTTTTTTTTTTTTTTAAGGTTTTTGCCACAAGGCTCATGAGCTTATTGAAGAGAAAGACAGGGGGAAGGTGAAAATTCACCCCAGGGACAGCTGACCACAAAGCAATCCCTTCTCACCCATTCTCCTCTAGGGATTTTGAGCACGCACACACGCACATGCACCTGGCATGACTTTCAAGCCGCAGGGTCTGGGGCTCACACGGTGGTTGGCCGTGAGAAGCCCAGTGCCTTAACTGGACTCTGCCTGCTTACGCCACCTGCTGGCCCCTAAGTATCTTTCAAACAGCAGGACTGGCTTCTCCGTGAACAGTCATGGCAGTCACCAGTGTCTGCTGTCTCCTTGTTCAGCAGCGTGCTGATGCACTGAGCAGTGAGCATGAAAGATTGTGCCTCCCGCCCCATCAAAGGACCTCATCATTCAGTGAAGAGAGGGGAAACGGTGCGGCGCAGAAGCACCAGCGCTGACCCAAGCCTTCCAGTGAGCAACAGTTTGACTAGAGGCTCTTCATTATGCATGTAAATGTACTTAGCTTCTCCAACTTCAAGGGAATTTCCAGTTGGAAAACGGAATTAATTGCAAAGTACCTACATAGTAGCCTGCGATACAAAATGGGAGAGAATTTTTCCATAAAAGCTATACTTTTTTACTGATTAAAAAAACTCCTGGCACTAAACAGAAGAATCACTTGCTGTTTATGACAAACAGAAAAAGAAAATCATATAAAACTGAGATCTGGCTAGGCTATTAACAGTCTCTTTATATGAGTACTAAGTGTTTTTTTTTTTTTTAAGATGAGAACACAACAGTTCAATGAGATTGAAACTGAGTAAAGAAGATAATTTCTGTTTTGGCTTTTCTCAAAATAGTAAATATAATATTTCGAGTATTTTAAAGTTATATTAAAATAATGATTTAGAATCACAGCAAACAAACAAAAAAAAATCCAGGATTTATATATATCTGAAAACAGAGCAACCAGAAAAGATAGCTTAGCCATATCATCTAATACTGTGGTTAATATCAACTATATAAAATTCAACAGCTGGGGCTGAGGTTAAAGCAGCTGGATCTCACATGGCTGACTTCACGGTTCGAATCCCAGACCTGGTGGCTTGAAAATCACATCAGGTGTGTGTGTGTGCATGCCCAAAATCCTGAGAGAAGAAAGGATAGCGGTGGCGCCATCCCCTCTGGTGGGGGGTGACTTCTCACTCTCTCTCTCCATGTCTCTGGTGAGTGCATGTGCCCTATAGTGCAAAAATGAAACAGAAATAAATAGATAAATAGCTGTAAGCAGGAAGCAGGTAAACAAATCCACATAATTAATACTAAACCTGCCAGGATATATCCTTTCAAAATATCTACTTCCCATGAGAAATGAGACAGAAGTAACACAAGCACTGTAAACCTGCATTAGCACATGTTCACATCTGTGTCAGTTATTTGATAAACCAGATAAGATCGTCTAAAAAGAAGCATACTCTCTCCAGATGTATTTCTCCGTGAGGTTCAAGTACACCACTACCTACTCAGTATCTCCTGTACAGTATGAGAGGGAACTGGTGGTTCAAGGCCTTTAAGCTGACACTGCAGGCCAGCAGCACAGAACCTGCGAACCATAGTACATGTCGGAAGGGAGGGGTGTCCTAAAACGCTCATGGAGGGCCAGCAGGTGGCACGGTGGCTAGAAGCAATGGACTCCCACATGGCCGACTGTGGTTCAAGTGCCAGATCTGGTGGCTCGCTTTCTCGCTTTCCCTCTTTCTCTCTCTGGTCCAATTCGAAAATAATAAAAAAATAACAACAGTGGATGAAGTTAAGTTAAATAATTCTTTTTTTCTAAATGTAAAAAAAAAAAAATGAAAAGTTCATGGAAAATGTATAGGAGGAGGAAACCATGCATGAATTTAAAAGAGTTTGTACCAAAATAAACTCATATTTTAATTCTATTTTCCACAGACTTTCTGAAGCCTCCTCCTATGGCATCTTTGCATGGGGTTAGTTTCCAAAGCAATCACTGTCTTATTTCAACAACAACGACGACCAAGAACATCTCAGTACCAGCTACCACTGGAAAGAATAGCACTTACATTTGTGTTTGTCTACACAATTAAAAATTTAAAATTAGCACCCATGATGCCTGGTACAGATTTACCACTTTCAGAAATTGGAAGCAATCAAGACCAGCAGGTGGCATAATGGTTACGCTGCTCGACTCCACATAGTTGACTATGGTTCAAATCCTGGATCAGGCTGGGTGCGAATTCGCACAGGGTGCATATGCGTTTATGCCCAAGATCCCGAGAGGAGAATGGAGAAGGGATTACTGTGTGGTCATCCACCCTAGGGGTTGATTTCTCGCTTTCTGTCTCTCTGTCTCTACAGTAAGCACACATGCCCTATATCAAAAATCTCTCAAAAAAAAAAAAAAGAAAAAGAAAAAAAAAAAGGAAAAGAAAAAAAAAGGAAAAGAAAAAAGAGAAACTAGAAGCAATTAGCAAGTATATTCATCAATACCAAAAAGGGACCAGCTATTAACCTCCGGGAGACGCAAGTATTATCATTCTGCTTGGTATCTGATGGCATACCGGTGAACTAAATCAAGTATCCTACCTCACTTCAAAAGATAAAATGCTAAGTGAGCAAGGTTTTTAGGTTTTTGGTTTTTTTTTAACACGCGGTAATGGTTGTGACACTGGCCATTTAATGAGGATGAGAGCGGGCTCTAACCTGGGTTATAGTCCTCGGCATAATTCTCTGTTGCCATCTTTCCCTGTCTCTTGATGGAGATTATATTTGCTATGGCTGACCTTAAAGATTCCTCACCTTGTCACATTGGGTTCCAGCTACTAGGCAGGACACTTCACCGCCAAGGCTTTTGGCTGCAGTGATGGTATTTAAAGTAATGGGTGCTAGGGTGTCATTTGCATGTTCAGCTATTACCAGGGTACTCTGAAATCGTAGCAATGAGGCCTGAAAAGAGAAAAAAAGGAAAAGAATGTTATCGACAGTTGTTTTACTTAAATTGTGAAGCATGTGTGCTTTAAATTATATAATATTCAGTTCTATAAATGTACTTATAAAATATCTAATTCAATAGCAAAAATCATGCTATTTGTCTATGACTACACCATTAATTTTCTTATCTAATAAAATAAAAAATGCAAATCAGTACTCTACTGCTACAATGTTTAAAAGGAATTATTTATTTATTTATTTTTAAGAGGACCTTTGCCATAGGGTGCGTGCACTTGCAGGAAAGACTGAGGCAGTGAAGGGGAAAGTGGGAAATCAGCCCCTGGGGAGATGGTCACACAGCAATCTCTTGTTCTCCACTCTCCTCTCAGGATCTTGAGCATGCACACACAGTCACCTGGTGTGATTTCGAAGCCATCACATCCGGGACTCAAATCATCAGCTACGTGAGAGTCCAGTGACATAATCGTTACACCATTTGCTGGCTATTACTGTTATTTTTAAAAATTTGCTATAGGGCACGTGCACTTACCAGAGAAGGACAGAGAGAGAGAAAGAGAAAACAAGCCTCCAGGTCTGGAACGTGAACTGCAGTTGGCCACATGGGAGTCCAGCACCTTACCCACCATGTCACCTGCTGGCCTCCGATAGCTACAATTTAAAAAATTCTTTTAAAACAACTTTCCCACTGATCTATGGCCGATGAGAAGCTGCTGTATACCTAAAATTAAACTTCTTAGATAGAACGTATGAACTATCAAACTATGAACTGGTCAAATCCTACTGCTACTTACGTTTAGTTACATAATCAACTCCTACTACGGAGCACAACAGATCCAGAATCACAGTTTGGAGTCAGTTGCTAACCTTGACTCCTATTGCTTCATGCAAAATACATTCAACACCAAAATAAGCTTAATAAAAATTTATTTTAAAAATAACACTGTGGACCAGCAGATGGCGTAATGGTTATGTTGCTGGACTCCCACGTAACTGACCACAGTTCAAGTCCCGAACCTAGTGACTTAAAATTCACGTGGGGTGCACATGCATGCATGCTCAAGACCCTGTGAAGAGAATGGAGGAGAAGGGATTGCGGCATGGCTATCACTCCTGGGGGGGGTGGGGGTGGGGGTGATTTCTTGTTTTCTGTCTGTCTCTCCAGCAAGTACCCTACAGCAAAAATATCTCAAAAAAAACCCAAACCAAACCAAAACAAAACAAAAATACTAGACAGCAATCTTTCCAATATTTTTTTTAAAAATTCATGTTCAAGTGGAAGACAGAAGCTTGGATGTGTAGATGCAAAATAGCGACATAGGCATAAGGGGAAGAGAGAACATTTTGGAAATGTTCTTTTCTGAAAACAGCGATGAGAAATGAGAAGAGGTGCTAATGATCTGTGGGAATGGTCCAATGGCATAACCCAGCGACAACCTTCAGCTCTGGAGGTGAGGTGAACGGACAACTTACCCAGAGCTAGAAATTTACAAGGAAAGCAGGGAGGAAGAGAAGCCAGGCATGGGGCAATCATACTGGTCACACAGCTGATCCGTCTTCATCACTTGGCTTTAGTACACTGTAACTCATTTACTATATTGTAAATATCAGTTGGTACACAGTAGTCCCCCCTTATCTATGGGCTCACTTCCTGCAGTTTCAGTCACCCTTGGACAACTGTAGTCCCAGAACTGGTTCAGTACATAGAGTAGAACAAAATACTTTGAAAGGAAGAGCAAAAGATCGCAATCACCTAACTTTCATTACAGTTTATTCTATAATTATTACATTCTACTACTAGTTACTGCTGCTGACCTCTTACTGTGCTTGATAAATTAAACTTTATCATAGGTATGTATTTATAGTGGGAAAAACACAGTGTATCTGAACACCAGTTCAGTGCTAGTACTGGGGGTCCCGGAACATATCCCCCATGGGTAATGAGGGACTAGTGTATTTTAATACTCTCTGCCTTTTATTAGCAGAGTATACTGGTCTATCAGTTTAACTAGTCTATGGAATTTGGGTCATTAGTAACTTTCTTGTTTAGTATTGCTAGAGTGTGTGTGCACTTGAGGGTGGGGGTGAGAGCCCTTGAAGGGTATGGCCATGCTGTAGTCCTTCTCCTTACACGTCTCCACTGGCTGGGGTTTCAGGCGCGCACACACACACACACACACACGCCTGCATGTTCCCAATCCATCAGGGCTAGGATTTCAACCACCACCTGCCATGTGAGATCTGGCTTCTTACACACAAGCTTAACTGCTGTGCTATGCGGCTGGTCCGATTGGTTACTATCAGAACAATGCAGAGAAAATCACACTCATGGCCAGGTCTCTGCACTTACCCTCAGCAGGCGAGAGTTCCTTCCGGTTCAGAACCCTTCTGATTGGGATTTGGCCAGATTTATTCAGGCTGCTCCATTTCCACAAGGGATTAAAACAGATTCTGCCAAACCCTCAACAAGATAAGGACCCTCCCTGGGACTGGCAGGTGGTGTGGTGTAGTGGTTAGGGGCGCTGGACTCTCACATGGCTGACTGAGTCCTGGACCTGGAGGCTTGCTTTCTCACTTTCTCTCTCTCTGTGTCTCTCTTTTTGTCAAATTAAAATAAATAAAGTTAAATAATTATTTAAAAATATAAAATGAAATAGGGCCCTCCCCTCCCCTAAACTGTTCAACTGTACTACTTCATCCCCAACCTCTCCCCAGCCCTCTGAGCCCCCCCTAACCCACTGCTGGGGTCTTCCAGGGACAGAAATGTTCCCAGACCATCCCACCACGGAGGTGGGAGGAGAAGAGGGTACCACAGCAGGTTACACCAGGGGAAGAATCACTGCATCAGTGAATGGCACTGCTTGCCCGCCCCCCAACTCCTAATTTAATTCAGAGAGCAAGTAAAGAGGAAAAATGAGATCTGTTGCTGCCAAATCAAATACCTGTTTGATAACTTCGTTTTCACAAAGGAACATTTCTCAGTAAGAAAGCAGGTAGAAATCTTTATGCACCTCTTAAGATTGTTTTCTCAGGACAAATTCCTAGAAGTAGAAATGCTAGACCAAGAAGGCACACTTTCAAGTGTTCTGATCACGACAGACACAATCTGTTCTTCAGAAAGGCTGCAGCAATTCACCATTCCTCGGAGGCACAGTTCTCAGATAGCCAACACCATGCCTACTCACTTTTCTATCTCCAAAATCTAACGCAATGATTCCTTTCCAATATACATCTGCACAATTGTGTAGTACATTTTCTTTTTTAATCAGAAGAGAACAATGTCTTGTAAAAGACTTTGTAATTAAGACCCAAAGGCATAATTTATGACTTAATCACATTTCACAAGAATTGCCAGTAACAAACTATTGTATCTATTGCCAATATATATCAGATATCATATTTTTGATTATGTTCTACACATCATTTACCATAAAAAATTATGAGATTTCCATCACTATTAGAAGAATAAATCCAAGATTTGGTGGCAGAAGGCCCATATTTGCTGTAAATTATACTTCTGTCGTAGGATAAAATTGGTAGTTCTCCTAAAGAATGGTCAAGCTTTTTAGAACTTCCAGTGAGAGACTATATTTTTTTAAGAATGATTGTGTTTAACTTTATTTATTTTAATTTGACCGGGGGGGGGGGCCAGATCCAGGACCCCAACAATGGTCGGTCATGTGAAAGTCCAGCGCCCTCAACCCCATGCCACCTCCTAGCCCCAAGACTGTATATTATTTTTAAAGATCATTCCAATTTTAAGCTTATAACAACAAAGGATATATTTTAAAACTCAGTCCATCTATCAATCTGTATTAAGGACTATACATATCATAAAGATATGGGTTAGCACGTGGCGTGGTGGTTAAGGAACAGGATCCCACATGGCTGACTCTGCTATTCAAGTCCCAGACCCCATGGCTTGAAACACACACTGGACATGTGTGTGCGCGTGCCCAAAATCCTGAGAAGAGAATGGAGAAGGAACTAGGGGGTGGAAATCCGCCCAAGGTGTGATTTCTCACTTTCCCTCTCTCTCTGTCTCTCCCTGGCCCAGTGCATGTGCCCTACAGCAAACACTTAGAAAAGTAAAATAAAATAAAGGCACTCTATGTTGTCGATTGATTCCTTTAAAATGTTCAGATTAAGCTTCCTTCTAGGTGTTCTACCCTGTGTTTCTCAGAAACCACCATGGCCGTGTAGCTGAACTTAGCAATAATGGTCGTGCGGGGACTGGAGCAGCAGAAACTGGTCTCTGACCTTTCGGACATCATTCCTCAGTCTGGAGCCCGGTTTCCTCACCTGCAAATCGAGGGATGAACTGGATGGGAGGTTGTCAAACTACACTTCGTTGAACAGTTCCAGGAAAGCGCTTCGGGAGCCAGTACACAAGAAAAAGTGGCCCAGACAAACAGGGCCGCTGGGATGCCCTGCCCTCCAGCTCTCCTTTAACCAAAGTACTCAAACCAGCACTTACAGAGTCCTATACCAAGCAGCTCTATGTACGAATCTTATTTAAAACTCCTCAAAATGCCGTGGTGTGGGTCTGTGGGTACCATTTTGCTCTGGCTTTACAGATGAGGAAACTGCGCTGAGTGGCTGCACTGCTAGGAAGCAGAGCCAGGCGACCCGTCCAGGCAGCCTGACTCCAGGTTTGGGTTCTTAAGACCAGCTCCCATCCAAGCACTGCCAGGTCATTTACGTATGGGTTATTTAGGTGAGACTCCACTTGGCAAGTATCCTGCTTAAAATGCACACGCACATACACACTAGTCAACAAGAAAGGGACAAATTATCTCAAAGGCCACTTTCCCTAAAAGTTTGTAACTCTAAAGTCTTATTTTTTATTTATTTAACTTTATTTGCTATTATTATTTATTCATTTATTTTAATTTGACAAGAGAGAGAAAGAGAGAGGGAAAGTGAGAAAGCAAGCCACCAGGTCTGGGACTCGAACAGTGGTCGACTATGTAGAAATGTCCAGCACCTTAACCACC